GTCGGTACATGAAACAATTCATTACCGCCCTAGAGATAAAACCAAAGGTGGTCGGTACATGAAACAATTCATTACCGCCCTAGAGATAAAACCAAAGGTGGTCGGTACATGAAACAATTCATTACCGCCCTAGAGATAAAACCAAAGGTGGTCGGTACATGAAACAATTCATTACCACCCTAGAGATAAAACCAAAGGTGATCAGTACATGAAACAATTCATTACCACCATAAATAATTTCCAAAGGTGGTCGGTACATGAAACAATTCATTACCACCCTAAATAATTTCCAAAGGAATTATAGACTAGACAAGTTTTTCTTTCTTTAGGACCAACCATATAGTAACTTCTGTTCCATCCTGTACATTCAATAACTTATCTATATAAGTATAATAGTATTGTCTGTTGTATGTCCATATAACTACTTTGCAGGGTGTGGATGGATCGTCACCAAAACTGGTATGGAGGTTCATTAGGTTCATGCAAGGATACATACAAATTTTCAGCTTTGAATTTTACAATTACATATAAGGGAAGCAACTTTACACATCCTAAGATAACCTTTCATTAATCATGAATTTACATAACTTCCATCCAAGGGACGAGTACTCCAGCTAGTCATTATTACACAAATACTCTTGCAATAAACAATGAAAAACAAGTAAAATTATTGAAATTAGTGATATAAAACTCATTATCAACTTTTAATAGTTCATGATCCTTCAAGTTAAACTAAACATCTTCAATACCAATAATTGTGTCACAGTAATATAGAACTTATCTTCATTTCACACATTACCACAACAATGTTTTTTTTGCCAGAATCGGGAAAGTGATGAGAGCACTTACAGCAGTGTTTTCATTGACATCTGGGTCCGAATCATGTTGAGGACTGTCTCCATCCTCTCCATTCTCTTGATTTCTTCCAGATGAGTCTTCCTTTGATTTTCTCTTGCTCTTCTTACCACTCTGAACTGATGATCCAGTTGTTCCAGGACTCTTCAAAAGATATTAAGTGATGTTAAACTTTCTTTTTCATTTGTTACATTAACATTTTCATCTAATCTTCCCAATTACTTGCATCTTATCACACAAGATACCCATTTTAAAACATTCTCTTGAACAAAATTTTACATCTTCACTGTGGAAGAATCACTTAAAACTGTGTAATAATTTTTTTTAGTTTTCACTGAGTATAATAATGGAACTTGGAGACATGGCCAATATTAAATAGTTTGATGAACAAAGTTTACACCATTTATCAAAATATCTTTTAACAATGTGTTTAGTTCATTTTACAAATATTTTAAGTTCTAAGTTGTTACCACTACTTTGTTTAGGTTTGTTAAAGATTACTGTAAGCTTTAGACATATATAGGTCAGTAGATAGCATTTTGAAAGTGACATGGTTATACCATGTGACTGAATTGTAATGATGTAATTTAGCATTCTGCATATGTAAAAATAAAACAATTTGTACCTGTACTATATTTCAACTAAACATGTTTGCCCCCCCCCCAAAAAAAAACAACAAACTTTAATTGCATGCATAGACCCTAGCTCAACTAGTTCTGTAAAAGCCTTGTGTTTACTTACAGCTTTACAACAGATCCAGTTGCTATATACCTTTACTTTAAAACAAATTTATGGAGAAACACAGATCTAATTATGATAACAATTCAGATTAATATTCTGATGTAAGCCCAGAGACACACACACAACTTAAATTTTTCCTAGCCTAAAATAGAAATTTAAAGTTTTAACAATTAAAAAAATAGTATTTATTTTTTATTTTACATTACACACTTGACCATTTTACTAATTTTGAAACTTCTTTTTTTATGACAGTTTGGAATAATTTTGATTTTTCTAGTTTTTTATATTTTCTTGCCATTACATCTTAAAAACCTACATGTATACGTCTAATTGTTCAAAATAGCTATCCAACTATCAGCCTATATGATACAATGTTTTTTGTAATTGTTTATAGAGGCTTGTTCACAATCAGTAGTTCCAATTTTAATATCCAATCACCTTGCCCATGGTAATCCTCAACCTATAACTACATGGATTAAACGCCTCGACTCTCTCACTACAATTCAATTAAAAGTGTGGTGCTCTTTGATAGTTACAATTCAGGACTTTCCAAGATGAAATTCTCCTACTTAACATTTAAGAAGGGGATATCTAACTTATTGTCCAGCTGGTAACACAACATATATGTTGCAATAACAAAAGTTTAAAAAATTATGACTGTTGCAGGTTACATCTATGGTGTTAAGCTGAACATCACAAGATTCGAGAAAAACAGCAAGGTGAAACCTGCATATTATTAGGCTAACCATTATACGAAGAAATTAACTTTTCTGTACTGAATAAGTACCAATGAAGTACACCTCCATCAACACAAAACATCCAAGACATCAGTTTCTGTACAACATGCAAGTACAAATGGGGATTCATTCTATATCATTCACATGGACTTCTGTGTAGCTCCAACAGGCATATTAAAGTCACCTTCTGCATACAGTTCATGGAGTTTGAAAGACAGAAAGAGACAACATTGACTTTTATATTATGAAAAAACTTCCTGTAGAGGAAATTTCAATGCAAGAGCAGTAGTTCATAACCAAAGTCATCACACAAAACTACCATCAATAGTGCAAGTTCTGTGAAGCCTAAACACTCATTTTTGAAGCATTATCATAGGTCAAACACCATTTTGCAAATCTTGTATTTTTCAAAGAAACAATTCAACAACAACACATTTTTAATTACAACAATTTCTCACGCATAAACATTCTGCAACAGATATTCACCTGATGTGGTGGGTTTTTCAGAATGAAGGTTATCAGCTTATGAGCAGAGTCCACAGTTCCACTATAGCCACAGGCAATACATTTTATTGTGATGACTCCTTTCTTCTGAAGCACACCCTGGAGGGAACAAAAAACATTTATCAATATTTTAAAATCTAAAAAAGTTCCTAACCTTTTTTCTGAAGCACACCCTGGAGGGAACAAAAAACATTTATCAATATTTCAAAATCTAAAAAAGTTCCAAACCTTTCTTCTGAAGCACACCCTGGAGGGAACAAAAAACATTTATCAATATTTTAAAATCTAAAAAAGTTCCTAACCTTTCTTCTGAAGCACACCCTGGAGGGAAGAAGAAAAACAAAAAACATCAATATTTTAAAATCTAAAATAGTTCCTAACCTTTTTTCTGAAGCACACCCTGCAGGGAAGAGGAAAAACAAAAGCATTTATCAATATTTTAAAATCTAAAAAAAAGTTCCTAACCTGTTCGTCTTTAAATGTCTGATAAGTTAATCTGACAATTAAATACTAGTCACACAGCCCACAGCTTCCCAGAAGTCAAGCTTTTACCTTTCATCAGTATACATAAAAAATATTAAATAAACACTATTTCTGCCACATATGAAATCAACTTAACAGTTTAATTTCTTAGGAGGATATAGAAGTTTCTTAAAGAGTGCACTGTGGCATACTGTTGTTGCAAATTAGCTGACAAGGTGAAGATTTTTGCTTTCCTATATTTATAGCCAGTTAAAAAAATAATAAGTATAATAAAACACAGAACAATGATTTCAATACAGTGACCAAGTAAAACTATAATTGCAAGCCATCTTATTTAACACGATCTGCCTTCAGGTGGTTATACAAGAAGCTTTATTCTCACTTTGTTGTGAGCTATACTATTAGTGGTGTGACTCAATCTTTAATAGTTCCAGCTGTTTTTTTGGGGGGGGTGGAGAAATACTGGGATAAAAAATTTACATCTGATGAGGCATATACATATTTATTAAATGTGCTCGTCTTTATTTTATATTTGTAGCTTCAACTTAAAATAAGATCTACGAGTGATTCAAGGTCTTACATTTTATTGTGCAAATGACAGTAATATTTTATAACATATGGTTGTGTATACGTTTCACAACTTTCAATGAAAAAAACTCTTAGTGACAAATGAACCAAAAAGCAGAAAGTTAAACTTTCATTAACAGAGATTAAATACATAACTTCCTACCAGAGTAGTTTCAGGATTATCACAGGATGGACACAAAACAAAGCGACGGATGAATCCATCAAGAATGTCTTGTAGTTTTCCTGCTTCATGGGATCCATTAACAATGTAGCGTTCATTCTTCACATCAAACTGAGTCTGAGCACCAAGTTCACACCCAAAATATTTGGTTGGATCTGAGGAGAGAAAAATCATTCACCACCCACACACAAGTAAACGCTTAAAACAGAAGTGTAAAATTTAAAACAAATGAATCAATTGTATTTCTGAAGCTTATTTGTGAAAGGTAACTTACAAGTTGGAGGTCGATTAAGAGCCTTGGCAATTTCCACCATGTTAACAATTACCGTTTTGATGCCATTTCCTTTGCCTTCCACCTAACAAAGATGTATATAAAACCAAAATAAGTTAGAAAAAAACATTCACTTGACAAATTCAAATATCCCATGCACTAGACCAATTACTAAGAGATAAACAATCTGTTCGCAAACAATACAGACAAATCCTACATACGACATGGATCTAAAACTTAAAAAAAATTAACCTTCTAGCTTTAGAAGCGTCAATTTTATTATATATATATTATTATTATTTAAAATCTTAACTTCACTGGAATAGCACAATAATTACTGCTGATTGTAGTCAGTATTTAATACTTAAATATATTTTCAAACATTATTACAGCCCAAAATGTATTTAACTATGAATTTTGATATAAATTAAACTTGGAACTGGCTGTTTTCAACATTGTCTGCAGAAAAAAACTAAAATAAAAAATATGTAAAATATTTGCATTACAGAGGTAAAATGTAACAATAAATCAAACCATGCATGAAATAAATACTATATAAAAATTAAAAGAAAAACTGGAGTAGTCAAGCTTTTTCCAGAAAAACAGTTTAACACAACGTGAGAGCATTAACTTTCAGGTCTTCAGTCATAAGGTTCATTTCATTAAGAAATGTACACTCATTTTGTGAAAAATATATGTGGAATGACTTGTTTCAGAGAATCTTGATTACAGTATTTATTATTCACTAAGAAAATTTAATTTAATATATTGTTTAACAATATTAATAGTTACCATTTCCCAGTTTGCCCCCGAAGAAGAAAGGTCCACCTTTCAAGTGTTTGGGTTATAGGGGTTTTTATTCATTTCTGTCAAGACTTCTTGAACCTACGTGTTTTTCTAACATCATGAATAGTTACCAATTGTCATTTTGACAACCTTATTTTAACCCTAAAGATTAGGAAAAACTTTAGGTAGTTCAAATTTTGGTTCCTAATTTCTATTGAAGCTTTAGGTTAAACTGGACTTAAGTTCATTTGTAATCAGTAATTAACATAACAGTAAAGATTATTACCACCTACTTGTTTTTAACACGAGTGGATTTTGAAGTAATTTTCTTTATTAATGTACTTAAATGAATAATGTTTCTTTATTAAGTGACCACATTACCAAGTGCACTACTGAAATACAGGACTTCCAAATTTAGTGGTCCTGAAAGTAGAGAATGGAGAAACAGGGATGTGAGCCATATGTGTCACTAATTTATGTGCTCAGCTATATTAGTCCCTAAAGGTATACAGATTCAGCTGATATACAGATGGAAAAAGAGAAAATTAAAAGATAAGAGTAGTATACTGATTAACTCTCTCACTATGAGCTCGGTCATATTGGCAGAGTTCGTAACCCCAAATTTACCTTTATAGTTTTAATACTATAACTACTAATGTGTTCCATGTATCTTCAAGACATTTCTCAAGCATTAAGTCTCACTAAAAAGCTTTTCCACAAATATATGGAATCAAAGTGCTGACTGCTCTGAGTGAAGAGTGATTTATGTTAAGATTAAAAACATATTTCTTCATCTAAAAAATTGTCAGATTTCATTTGTGTAATCTCTAAAACCTCTTAAGTGAATTTCAAATGTTTTTTTTCAGTAATTTTGTTATTTTCTTTAATCTATAAAATGTTGGTCAATTTGAATGACCTCATAACCAACATAAAAAAAAATAAATAAATTAATTCTAATCGTTATACATAATATGGTATTAAAAATCAGAGAGAACTACTGGCAATTTGTGAAAGAGAATGTGACAGGTGGGAATGGGAAGGGCTCTGTAACCAAATAAGCTTGAAGGCTATAAAAAGTATGCTTTGCCTGAGTGTTAACAATATTATGAGTAATTTATGTTAAATATTACAGGACCTAGAGAGATAAATAAATTAGAAGGGGGGGGGGATACTTAGGGTAAATTTCAGTTCTCATACTAGGGTAAGGTTGTAAAATTTTTTTAAATATTTCCTTATAAAATTAAGAACATAAAATTTACATAATATTAAAATTTGAGTGATTAAGTTTTTATGCTAAATGTAATCATACCATGATAACAAAGTAGTTTAATTAAATTTTGAATGTAACTCTAAAAAGTCATGACATGTGTACTCTGAATAGCCTCTAGTGAGAGGGTTAATAATTACCTAAACACGGGTTTTCATTTTCAGTTATTCTACTTATGATACAATTACAAAGTTTTACAATCAATTACATAATAATTTCAATTAGAAAGGAACTGGCAGTAGATAATGCTTATAGAGGCAGTTAAAACTGCCATACAACTGATGATCAATGAATTCAAGGCTCGTCAAGCCTGTATGCAAGAATCAGAGTTTTTATAGTCCAACATTAAATACACGAGATATCTAGTGGTAGATCATCATCAAAAGTGTAATTAGAAAAACCTTTAAAAATATTGCCTCTAGTAACTCATTAAACTAAATATTCATTGACTTTCATGCAGAAAATACAACTAACTTGCTCACAATTTTTAAAACCAACAAAGGCCAATATGCAAACCCATACACACTGAAATAATCATTAACCCCATATATATTTCTGGCTTTTTTTTAAAATGAGCTAAAAAATCCATTTTCTATTTCACTTTTTCCTAGCCCATTGAATACACGTTAACATGTGAATAAATTTAGGCAAATAGTTCAAATTATGAAATGATTCGCACGAATTAACTTGGGCAAATAACAGAAGAGGTCAATAATACATTAGGAAGCTTATAATAACTTACAAAAGAAAATATTAATTTTTTTTTTTTACATATAGGAAAGTATTTTCATGATTTATTTAAATTCAATAAGGCAAAAGCTGAAATCCAAAGCAAAAATAACAAAATACGGTTTCAATTCTAAAAGGAAAGACTCCTATCTATCTCTTACAATGTCATTTATCATCTTCAGAGACAATATTGATTCATAATTATAGTATGTTATAAAAGAAATACATTATTTTTATACATTATAATTTTTTTTAAACATATAAAAAAATACCCAATACTCAGCCAAACAAATAACATTTTTAAAGCAACCAACACCTAAACAGGTTGAACACAAATAATGAACCACCTTAAACTATCTTCAAAGAATGCAGATACAAAAACTGTTAATAAAAACAGCATTAATCAGGTACTTCACCTTTGCGATAATCCTCGGCATTTTATAACGATAAAACTGGTCCGAAAGGCTACGGTTGACGTTAACACTTCCCATCTTGGCTGTCTAATCCTTATTTTGATATTATAAAAAGCTTAAGGGGTCTTCCCCACACACTCTTCCCAGAAGCCTTAATGCTGTTGGCTTGGCAAAAAATGAAACAAAGGAACAGCGTACAGATGCCAATAGTCACGACCGAAATGGGTTTAGTTTTTGATGATAGCAGAGACACCTATAGAAAAAGAAAAATGTTTGTCAAAGTAAGCCCTAAGTACACTCACCAAAAATTACTGCTATCATTCGTCTATATACATGTGTAATAAAAAAAAAGTAATGGAATTCACTTGGATCATTTTCCAGCTACCTTGTATACATTTATTTTAATTATTACATTACTCATTAAAATCCAGTACGTTTCAAGACATTCTTACCATCAAGACAAATCTTAGGATCTCAACACAAATTATTTTATTAAACCTTTTCAAAGTTTAATACACTTGAAGATTACCTCCAGAATCAACTGATATGTATTAGTCCTTGTTAACTAAAAGTTTAAGTGTCTGGTTACATCCCGCAACTTGCTCTGATTTGTAATTTTCCTGTTTGATTTCAAAACCACGTAAAATTAATTTGACTAATTCTGGGAGTATTGTTCTTTACATAAAACAGAAACATCATAAGAATCTCCCTTAATCTTTCTTTTTGCATTTTACCCATTTAACTAAACTGTCATCAGTAAAGCAGTCAAAACTCAAACTGTAATTTTGATTGAAATTATTTAGGCTTCTTAAGAAATTCAATAATCACAATGCACATTAATTTTCTTTTTAAGGAAAACAAGCTTTCCAGACAATTTGCAATTTAGTCTAAGTATGAAAACATTTACCACTGTAATAATGGCTATTTACACATAATTAAAGCAGCATCAAAATATTCTCTGTAAATTTGCTTTCAATGAAAAGTTTACTCACAAGTTTTAAAATTAGTTTGTTTTTTTTATAGTACTACATATTAAAACTGGTGTTGATTTTATTTTTGCTTCTTTAATTGACTAGAGCAACTTACTAACACTGTTAAAAGGTTAAGACATATGAAGTGGTAATTATGGAACTCCAGCTTACCTTGTCACTGAATAATTCTTTCTAGACTCTGTGCAATTCATAAACGGTACTGATAAATCAGCGTGTCTTTCGATGTACTTCCGGTAATTTGCTGGGTTTCCTCGACCTAAAAGTTCTGATCAAAATTGACAACATGAAATTACAAAAAGAAATTTTTTAATAGTACTTGCTATTCTGTGAAACAACTTGTGTATAAAAGTAGAAATATTAAGATGAGAATATGTAATGTAGTAGGGAGAAAAATGTCCTTAAATTTTATGAAATACATTAGATTCAATAGTTTATGTAACCATATACAATGATTTTTTTTGTTTTGTTATATATACATGGGAGTAGTTTTGAAAGCAACATTTTAGAAAGAAAATGAGTCAATCTCATGCTTTTTAAAACCGAAATGACACTTTGGATAAAACTACAGCTAAAAAAAAAATTTTGAAATTCTTAATTATACACAAGGCATACCAACAAAAATTAATTCCAGTAGCTTTATTCATTCGAGGTTGCAAACCCAGTTTTGATTATCTTAAAATTGTAAAACACCAGTGCTCATGGGCTTGTTCAACTGCACCACATGAACACTGGCATAATGTTGCTTTTCACTTCAACTGTTTTTAACATTCCAATTTTTCGCAATAATAAAGTATTTTTAATGTTAACTGGCATTTATCACGTTCAACTTTTCTGCTAACAATTTTGCTTTAAATTAGCTTGTTGGCCAGTTCACATAGTTATGCAGTAAATAGATGAATCAAAATTAACACATTCCAAATGTTCCACATAAAAACCTACACAACTTTCTCAATTAGAAGGAACTGTCTAGTGTTATGAAAGGAATATAGCTAGGCTCTGATAAAGAGATAAAGTTATAGATTAAACATTTTTCTGAAGATGGGTACTAGTTTGATATTTTTAAAGTTAGACAATTATTTTAATGTACCTTTGTTACACTAACTAGGATTGGACACTTACATTTTATTACTGTAGCACATCTAAGATTATGGGACAGTGAAAACAATCGAAAACTAAGCTCTTAAGATTTTGGAATATCACATTTAAATATTTTTAAGAACCTGATTAATATTTCTTAATTGAAGTAACTTGTATTAATAATAAAACGACAAGTATATTTTATCAGGTTAACAAATATTAAGTAGGATTAAACTTCAATTTAGGGCTTGGTGGCATAAGTATTACTGCTGGCTGGAAACAAAGTCAAAATCTTGGCTAGGAAAAAAGTAAATTTTTAATATCCAAACAATGTAAAGCAATGCAATAAAATATGTCTTTAAGTTAGTTATTTACTGCAATAATAGCATCATGCATGATATGTAATATTATATTAAAAGAGGCATCAATCATCATCTTCACATAAGTAAGTGGAATAATTCTATAAACTTACAAAATTATAAACAAATTTTCAAATTGTGACTTTTTCCTACATTCATACTACTGACTAACATGAAATTACACTCAGTGAATGTGATGCAGTTTTGTTCTAGCTGCAAATATCAGCTTACCAGTAAGTTATAAAACAGGTTAAAATTGTAAAAACATTGTAATACTACACAAGTCAAGACCGGTAGCCACTTTTACATATTAAACATAAATTTAATACTTTAGAGTGAAGATAAAGCAGTAATAATGTAATATTTAATTCTCACATGGCTTAACAGAGCTGGGTAGGTGAGTAGTATTGGTGTGAAGCACTAACAGTTAGTAAAGTGCAATAGGCACAAGGAATGGGTTTTATTTGGGAATTCAGGACTGGCATGAACTTATAAAGAAGCTAGTGGTGAAGACATGCAATTTGTTTGTAGTTTACAGATTGGAAGACAAACTGGAAGCTATTCTATATAAAGGTGTAACTGTAGGAAAAGGAAATAGGATTTAAAGAACAAACATTTACATACAAAGGTTAAAGTAGTTAATAATGACTTTTAGGAGGTTAAAAACAGTACTATTTGGTCTGGGAAAAAGTGGATTTAACTTTAATGAGAAAATATATTGAATAACATTTCAGCCTTTAGCTTGTGCAGATTGGGAACTATGGGAGGGAAGTAAACAAAAGAGACAGACATGGACAGAAACGAAAAACTTAAGGTTATAGTTTAGGTGATTCTTTGGTAGGAGCACAGTTACAATAATGTGAAAAATAAAAATGGTGAAATGAATGAGATTATGCTATCTAGGGGAAAGAGTAGAGTACACATCTGATATAAGAAGTGATACAGTAAAGGGTACTAGCAGTAATGCAGTCTTTGTAGTGTGGAAGGATAGGCCAGAAAATTAATGGGTAAGTACAGGGGATTAAAAAACGCATTTAAAAAAAAAAAGAGGCCATAATAACTATTCTACATGGAATATTGCCAAGAGTTAATCGTGGGGGGATAAAATTAATAGGTCAATGAGGCTGAATGTTAGGCTTATGTGTAAGTACAAGCAGATTGGCTGGTTGGACTTGCTAGATCAGACTGATGAGAAAAGGAAGTTTTTTGGAATGGATAGTTTTCATTGGATGTTTGCACTGAACCCTTTCGAGACAGGTCACGGGTGAAAGGCCATGTCATCTCGTTTGTTGACTCGTTCAAAATTTTATTGAACTGGTATTACATGAATTTATGTCAGTAAGTTTGGTATCAAACTGTAGATTATAATTCAAATTTTAGAACTATATATTACTCAATTTCTTAATTTAAAAGCAAATATCAAACAAACAGATAAACATTGATTTCTGTGTGTCACATGGTATGCTGAATGCAGCACTGGTTCAAATTAGACGTTTGTGAAGTCAAAAT